CTCTTTTGTGGTACTTTCTGCAAGACAGCAAACAGAAAGTCCCTGAGCTGAAGCCCTTTTATACAGGTAGCAGTAGAGCGGTAGCAGTGATTACAGCAGGCCTTTTCCAGTTCCAGGCTGGACTGAGTCACAAAATGTTTACAGACACCTTGGAGTCACTGCATATCCATACAATCACTACAGAACTACATTGGGAGACGTTGGAGTTGCCAAATCCCAGGTGGGGCCTGGAGTCGTCCTGGAATTACAACGGATCTCCAGACGACAGAGATCAGTTCCCCCTGGAGGAAACGGCAGCCTCAGAGGGTGGACTTGAGGGCCTCCCCTCCCCCCGGAGCTGCCTCCCCTCCTCTAACTCTGCCTTCCCCAGGCTCCACCCTAAAATCTCATTTCCCAACCTGGATTTCAAAACCTAATTACAGACATGGGAAAAGAATTTGAATCCCAAGCATTTGGGATTCTATGGCTGTCCTGGTTCACTTTTTCTGATGCCAAAAAGCTCTTTGCAAGCAGCTTTATAATAGAGAATATTTATGCAACCTAATTTGGATCTTCTTTCATTTTTCTACATTTGCTGTTGCTATGAGATTTTTTTTGTTTTGTTTTGCTTTGCTTTGGTTTCCTTGACTCATAACTGCTTTGGAGGGACGCCCAATTAGTCTCTTTTCCATGCAGTGCTGAATATCCAAACACAGGGCAAGAAGAGCAAATTGTTAAAAACAATAAAGCTCATTAATTGTGCTGCCACTGCTTTGTATGCAAACAGGGATAACATGCTGTGTGTTATTTGGCATCTAATTTTATATTTTATACTCAGAGGGGCAGAGAGAGTGTACTTTACTTCCTAGCTAAATTCTCCTTTGGGCTCCTGTTTTCAATTTCCTTTTGCTCGCAGGGATCCTCTTGTGCCTTGTCTGATATGGATTGAAAGACTGCAAGCAGGTACTGTCTATATTGCAACTTTTCCATCTGACACTATCTGGAACAGAGATTATAATTATACAGTATTTATAGGGGACCGTTTCTAAGCAAACAAGAAAGGTGGCGAGTAAGCCAAAGGCATATTAGCACGAGTCCATGGGAAGCAGACGCGAGGCCCAAAAGTCTGAATGGCAATTAGCTGTAGCTGTTCAGAGCTAGGAGGTGACTCGGGAACTTCTGTCCCTAAGGACCAAACAGCACTAGCAGGCAGCAAGGGTCAGCAGCCCCCCCCCAATACTCCACAACATCAAACAAATAAGAAATCATAGCTTTCTAAATCATAATAAACCAATTGCCAGACAATTGCAGTAGACTAACGTCAGAATTTGAACTTAAAATGCAGAAAGCCTGCCGGTGCTTTTAAATGCCTCCCCTCTCCACCTTCAAATCCATCAGAGAGGAACCAAATTTCTGTCATGATCTTTGCCTCCCATTCAATCAATTAATCTAATTAATCTAGAGTTACTCCTAATCAATCAGCAACATTTCTCAAGTTAGCTAAGATTTAGCATACCTTTAAGCAAGGCAATTCCTGGGTCTAGGGGAAGAGTTCGGGTCTCTGATGGAAGAGCTGTCAGGGTTCGGGGAGCTGGGACCTCACACATATACTTGCTTTGGCTCATTAAAATACACTGGTAAGGAATGAATCCAAATTGTGGAATTGGGAAAATCTTAAAGATGTTTAAATATATCAGTGAATGTGATGTTGTGATTATATTACCAAATGTGTTGATGATAATTTTCATGTACCAGTAACTGGAGATTATGGAGAGGAGTTCCCAGTGATAGATTGCTTTTGTTTTGTTTTGAAATTTTGGTTGTAAATACTTTTCAACACATACAGTGACAAAATCCATTACCGTAATGCAACCCTCATCTGCCAAATATTGTTGATTTGGCAGGGAAAGGCTGGTTATGAATTCAGTAGGAGAAATGAAACATATTGTGTGTTAGGATCCTATGGAAGGAAGACTTTTAAAAAGGACTCTGAAGGAGGTTTGTAAAAAGGCACCATCACTGAGGACACAAAAACCTCCTTTTGTCAAGAGACAGTAAGTATCAGCCTCAAAGGAAAGGTCAAGCAGTTAGTCTACAGTGGCTGATGTCTCTCTCCTAACAATCAAGTTCTTGATCGTTTATTCTCCTCCCATGAGTGATGCTAATTTTCCAGTGCACTCACTAACCCCCAAATCTGGGCAGAAAAAATTAAGAATTGGGAGGTAAAAGTAGAATTAAACTAATGAAACTTTAAATAAAGCAAATAATCTGTTATGTATTAAAGCAGATCATGTTACCTTTTGTATACTGGCTTGACACTACTTCCCTTTTCATGGCTAAGATAAAGAAACCCCTTGGAAACATGCAAAGAAGAAAAACAAGTTCCCTCTGCTTGCATTCAGGAAGGAGTCTTGGAAAGTAAGAAGGGGAATTTCTACTCAAACTCCAGCAGAGGTTTCAACTGTCATTTTATGTTCAACTTGCATAGAATGTTAACCAAGAGGCACCGGCAGTATCGCAGTATCGATGACACCCATGTGGCTGCTGTTAAAGTGGTAAGTAAAAGCTAGAGGGTGTATGTAAATTTTGTATTATACTTTAGAAGTGTATTATACTTTAGAAGTTACTATTTCTATGTATATACTACAGTATGTTTTAAGGCATTTTACACTGGAGTTTGATATAAATTTCAGCTTGACTCCAAACCTATTAAAATCAAAGTATTTTAAGGTAATTTTATGTTTCAACTAGTTAAACATTCACATAGTATATTAGGCAGTATGAGTGCATATAATTTGCTTTGAGTCCCAAACTAAGGAGCTGCGGTGGCTCAAGTGGTTAAGACGCTGAACTGCAGGCTGTGGAAGGTCAATAGTTCAGCAGTTCGAGACCCAGGTGCCGCATGATGGAGTGAGCTCCCATCTCTAGTTCCAGCTCCTGCCAACCTAGCAGTTTGAAAGCAAGAAATTGCAAGTAGATAAATAGGTACCACTTCAGTGGGAAGATAACAGCATTCCATGTGCCTTGGTGTTTAGTCATGCCGGCCACATGACCACGGAAATGTCTTCGGACAGCACTGGCTCTTTGGCTTTGAAACGGAGATGACCCTAGAGTCAGATTCGACTGGCTTTCGAGCAAGGGAACCTTTACCTTTACCCAAACTAAGAGCCATGATTGAGTGGAATGTCTGGAGCCCCTCTGTCTGCTGGCAGTGTCCTCCCACCTCCATTCTGTCACTCAAGATCAGGGTAGTGTCAGAAATATCATCTGATGAATCACAAAAAGCTGTAAAAATGCAAAACTTTGCATAACAGAGTCTTGGCATCATGGCATATAAATTCACTTCATGTCCTTTGGCTAACTCATTTATTTCTACCTAAAAAAATACTCAAAGCTAGATGCCCTTCATCAGTAAAACTGCATTCTGTACCTTCTGACCCTTCTCTGAGACTGTTGCGTATTGTCCTGGAAGTAAGCAAATAGTGCCACCCTAAGCCATGGAGACCAGTACATTACTAGCACACGGTGCCAGGTCACTAGTCAGTAGTGCACGCTCTTATAGTGAATAAAATAAATTTCCCAAAAGACCCAGTTCCAAGAAGCTGAGATCATACAAACTTCACTGGAGTTCATAGCTCATGCCTGCCAATCACAGAGAGGCACGGTGACAACCCCCTTATTTCAACCAAATATAAAAGCTGCCAGCCAAAGTACACTAATGTTGGCATTCCTCTCAGACACCGCCCTGCCTCAACCTACAAACAGAACATAGGGGAAGAAACATAAAAAACAGTAACTTCCCCCATAGGGAGGGCTGTGGCATGTTCTCCTGGGAGCTCTTCTGTTCAAACCCCATCCTGTAAACACATAACCTTGACAGGTGGACACACAGGGAAGGAAGATGGAGAATGGCTGCCATACTGCCCAGGTATCTTCACAGCACCATTGGTAGAGGGAACCTCCATAGAATGCCCACAGCCTCTCCCAGGAAGAGAAAAATGCCTTGTTTTTTGAAAGACGAGGGGACAAAGATTAGAACAGTTAGAATAGCAACCAGAGAACACTCAATTCGCCAGTACCTCACTGAGGAAACAGAAGTGAGGGATTTGTGTCCCACCAAGAGGGAAGTTGGGAATAAGGTGCTGTTTGCCTTTTGAGACGTATAAACTGATCAGCAGCAAACAGGAGGAAGTAGAATTAGAAGCCACTCTTCACCTTTTTCCTCACACTCACTGGGCATTTGGAACCCTCCATTGGTCTTTGTGTTGAAACCAGCCACATTCTGGGAGGAAAGACTGCCAAGAAACGAATAGCACTTGTGGAACAGCACAGGCTTAGCATGAAGCCTCCAGTTACAGGTCCCCATGACCTGTATTTACAAGGCAGAAATGCCAAATTTTGAATCGTCAGTCCTAGTGGGGAACGAGCTGCTCATGCTGATTGGCTGCTCCAGACTCCAATATTGCTTTGCATCCTCTGACGCAGCCACTCCTCCACTGCATTCAGGAGCTTTATTACTACTGCTTGCTGCTATTCATCCCTTCTCTACTCTCATCTGTATCATGCACACCAGCAGTGATCAGGGCCATTGTGAACCTGGAGGAGCTTCTAGTGTCCTGGCCCCACTGATGGACCTCCTGATGGCACCTGGTATTTCTGGCCACTGTGTGACACAGAGTGTTGGACTGGATGGGCCTTTGGCCTGATCCAACATTGGTGTCTCCATCAGTGGTTATTAGCCACATGGTATAGATAGAGGCTCTGGGGCAAGTGATGCTTTGTCTTCTTGGTGTTTGGGGGGGGTCAACAGTGGGAGGGCTTCTAATGTCCTTGCCCCACTGGTGGACCTCCTGATGGCACCTGGTATTTCTGGCCACTGTGTGGCACAGATTGTTGGACTGGATGGGCCTTTGGCCTGATCCAACATTGGCACCTCTTATGTTCTTAACCCAACTTTGAGCATGACTGCTTTCTTCTAATTTCTGTTCTAATGGCTACAGGTCTTTTTGCAGTGAATGAGGATGCAAAAACCAGAGTATGAGTTTTCCTTTGAGATGGATGAAGAAACCAATGTGAAAAAACAACATCATATCCAGGAAGGGACTGAACCATGGGAAGACAGTTTGGATTTGGTAGGAGAGAGCAACTTGGGAAATGCCATCATCTCATCCTATGAGATGTCAGCCCCGTCTGACACAGAAACACAACTGTACCCTGCCAGCATGCAGAAGCAGAGTGTAAGGGGTCACCCACATCTTCTGAAAGTTCCTTCAGAGGAAAATGATGAGGAAGACAACATACCTTGCCAATTTGTCAGATATGCTCCAGGAAGGATTTCTACTTCTCCCTCCCTGAGGAGACTGAGGAAAAGTGCACTGTCAGTATCTCAAATATTTGCACTCCAGGGTGGCACTGAAAACCCAAGGTTGGACAACCAATCTGAGTCTTATCTTCCTATTTGCCAAAGTCCACCTCCATTTTCTGACAACTTCTTTTTCTCAGAAGCCTTCATGCACACACATTCCTTGTCACAGAGAGAAAACTCTGCTTCCATGGACACCACACCAATCCTACCACGTCATGAAGAAAATGATCATAGTGGTGATCAGCCTTTGCAGAATGCTGTGTCAATCAGCTCTTCTTCTGAGGGAGAACAGAATTCTCAGGAATGTATTCAGGTAATGCTGCCATATATATATTTATTTATCTATTTTAAAAAGGAGTATTATTTTTCTTTCCTTGGATTGATATGCTTGATTCATAACCCATTGTGAAGTAAATAATAAATTGAACTTGGTAGTGTTAGCCTTCAGTAGACCCAGGAGGGTACAGAGGGGCAACAGCTCGACTGGAGTGGGCTGTAGGGATGATATCACTCCAGTCTTGACCTATCTACACTGGCTTCCAGTTTGCTTCCAAGCACAATTCAGGTTGCTGGTGTAGAGTTTCAAAACCCTTCATGATTTGGGACCAACATATCTGAAGGACTGCTTATTACCATAGGAACTTACCTGACCACTAAAGTCATCTTTGGAGGCCTTGTTTTGGGTGTCGCTCCCTTGTGAGATTAAACAGGTGGCAACCTGGGAGACAGCCTTCTCAGTCATGGCACCAAAAACTCTGGAACTCTCCCTGGGGAGATTTGTCTGTCCCCTTCTGCTGCCATCTTCTGCAAGTGGTAAAGACTTTTTTCGTTTCATTTGGCATTCCCATAGTGACCACTGTGTCCTCCTGACCAAAGGTGCTCCATCAGTGTTGGTGGCCAATGCCACAGTGGCATAAATGGCAGTGTTGGTGCTAGACAGGAGGGGCAGAACCAATGGGAGCCACGAGTTGAGGGGGCTGAGTCAAGCGTCGGTCACTGGCAGGAGGCAGAAAGGGGCAGGCCATAGGAGCCTCACTCATCTCCTGCAACACAGACCAGCTCCCATCAGACGCCCCGGCTACCTATCAGTGGGGAGGGGGACATCAACCAGCCACCCCCATGGGGATACCATGGTGTCACTCCACACACAGAGCACACAGGAGGACCCCCCAGGGCCATGATGGAAAAGAAAGTGGATGTGCGGGTGCCCTTCGTTCCTCAAGGGTGTGCCTGTTGCAACCCCTGTGCAACCCCCAAGCAGGAGCCGGAGCAGGGGGTATGGGAGATGCTGGGGAAGCCAGGAGAGCTTCTGATAGGTCCCCCAGCAGCTGCTATATGCACCCCTGTCCCTCACTCATGGCCCTCACAATGGTAAGAAGCCCCTCCAGGTGCCATCACAGATGCTGTCACCCCCTCCATCCATTGCTGCTCACTGGGAAGGGCTTCCCGCCACTCACAACAGCTCTCCAGCCACTCATGCTCAATTGCTGCCCACATGGAGGAAAGGGTGGGCAGGATGGGCTGTGCCGGACAAGGGCCCCGTTCCCGGCCTCTGCTCTGTGCAGACCCTGCTCCCCCACCCACTCATAAGAGACACCTTTGGCCATGAGGGTTCGGACATGCTACAAAGTGGGACCAAAGGAATCATTCCAGTGCTTCAGAGTGAACATCTCCATCCAGACAGCATGATTCAGGGCAGACACTCCTTCCGTCACCATGTGCCAAAAGGCACAGTGCCAGGAGGTGGCAGAGCTGCTCCTGGCGGTGCCAAAGGCGACACTCACATGCTCTACCACCAACCCATACAGCAGTGCCTTCTCAGCCTCAGTCCAGTTAGGCTGGCAGTGGCCTTCCAACAGACGTTACATCCACACACAGGGGGATGTGAAGGCAGGCCAACCCACTGTGGGAAGAAAATGATCCCTCTTCCTACCCCACCCTCAGTGCTTCTGGCACTGAGCTGCTGAGAGAGGAGGTACATAGGGGGGTGCTGGGAGCACAGAAACATGTGGCCCTGGCTGCCCTTCACCATCATCAACACTGACCTCTCTTTCTACATGGCCCGGTCAACTGCAGGTGGGATGGTGCTCCCTTCTGCCCTTGCCGCCCATGCTAGGGGTTTGCCACATTCACTTGCTACCAGCGCTCTACATCTGGGTGGCATGGTGACATCAGAGGAAACGCTGTGCCTGCCACTACCAAGCTCACATCAGCGCCCTCCATCTATCAGACAGCACCTGCCACAATTTGTTTTGCCAAAATAGAGCCGCCATCCAGGCCCTGTGCAAGGAGCTGGGCCTTGCCCTCCAGGGCCAAGCTCCCACTCCCCATGCCATCCCCATTTTGCAGACGGTCCTGCTCTCCCTGAGGTTTCTGGGCACCAGGTCCTTCCAGGAGGTTGCGGCAGGGTTTTCAAGATGTCCCAGTCCTCAGCTAGTTGCTGCTTGCACTGCTTTCTGGATGCCATGCTCCCCCACCTTCAGAAGCATGTGCACTTCCCCACTGAGGAGGGGGAGCTGGCACCCATCAGGGAAGGGTTTGCAGCATTTGGTGGCTTCCCCAACATTGTGGAGGGTGTGGACTGCACCCACATAGCTCTCATCACCCCCTCAGGTCTACCATAATCATCAACACTTCTACAGCCTGAACGTACAGGCCTCCTGTGACCACCATGGCATCTCCACAGACCTCATGGCCAAGTTCCCGGGCAGTGTCCTTGATGCCCAGATCTTCACAGCATTCAGCCTCAAAATCCTGCTAGTCACCTGGCCAGAGGCCAAAGAATGACTCCTGGGTTAGTTTGGTGGGAAGGGCTGGGCAGCCAGAGAGCTGAGGGCACCTGCCCTGCTTCCTCCCATACCATTTCCTGCAGGTGACCGAGGGTACTCACTGCTGCCATATTTGCTGATGCCATATCCCAAGGATGACCCACCAGACCACACAGCCTACAACTAAAACCACTGCCAAACACGCATGGTCATCAAGTTGTCATTTAGCCAACTGAAAATGCAGTTCCAATTCTTCCACAACACAGGGGCCCACAGAGCCATGCAGCCATTGGCAGTGGCCAAGCTGTTTGCCATGTGCACAATATCCACAATATCGCCAAGTTGTAATGCCTCATGCCTCCCTTTGGAGGAGCCATTGTGGGAGGTCCCTGGGCCAGGGAATAGGACTCCAAGCTATCACAGGAGGATTCTGGGAGGCAGGACGTAAGGAGCCACCTTGAGGAGGAGCAGGTGTGGGCACACATCTGGCAGTGAAGGCATCTACAGGCCCATGCCAGCAGTTGATGTGCTCCCCTCCTGTCAGCCCAGGAGAGGAGTACTGGTGACCTGCCAATGGTGCTAGCATCCTCCAGTGGTATGTGAGGGTGCCACTGGCCTCACATGGCCTTCCCCCTCCCAGACCAGGGCTGCCCCTCCCCAGCACAACCCTCCAATTGGTAGTCTTTGGAACTACCAGGGTGGGCTGCTTGCCAGGACAGAGAAAACACGGTGCATCCCCTGGCCACAGGTGGCCAGGTATGGGGTTTGGCAAGGACTAGGGATGGGCACAAACCAGCTCACAAACTGAAGTTCACGCCGAATTTTGGGCAGTTCATGCTTCAAAAAGTCAAGTTCATGGCAGGACACCTGGCACAAACTTTCCATGAACTTTTAAGCTGTTTGTGGAGGTTCATGCAGGTTCTTGAGTGGAGACATTCCCAAACAAATTATCTCCACTCAATCAAAATGTTTACACAACTTCAAAGCAACAACTTGGAGGGCATGTAGAGGAGCATCCTGAACCTCTTTCATTTTGACAGGTGCAGGTTTAGGAGTATATATAACAGCTCCTGTGCAATCTAGAGACACAAAACTTACCATGGATCTCTGACTGACTCTTCTCTACCTGCTCTCCAAGTTCATGAGGTGGCTAAAAATTTGTGATGGTCTGTGGTTCGCAAACAGGGCACATCAATAACCACAAACCAAACCACATTTTCCCAGTTCAGGCTGATCCCTAGCTAGGACTGGGGTGGGGTTCCCGTGGCTCATCTACTGCAGCCTTCAGAGCCTCTGGCCTCCGAAGGGAGTGACAAGGGCGCTGGAATGAGGCCACGCAGCACTGGGTCCATTGGTCCCCTATGGGGAGCCCTCCCTGCTGATATCACCCATTCTCTTTTTCACAATAGTTTGGTCCCCTGAAAAGCAGAGGGAGCTAGGAATTTCCACCATTTGAGATAGTCTGGGCATGTGCTGATCACACTCATGGTTAGTTAGGCAATTTTTAATTTCTGTAAACACAGCTGGGAGTTGTGGAAGTAACTGCACATCCATGTGGATCACCGATTCTTCCATGGTGCAGGCCCCATGCACCCAGCTCAAGAAGGGTGGGTGCTCCTAGCTCTGTGGGCACTGAACCCCAGAATTGTTGTGGGTGACTGGGACCTGGATTGGCACACATAGTGACGGCATTTACTGTCATTGTAGCCATGCTGCAGGAAGGCCATCAGGAAGGCTGATGCACATATTGACCATCTGCCTGGTGCGCAGGGTCCATGTGCCTCTGGGGGACCGCTGCTCACCCCCCAGGTGCCAGGTTTGGGAGTGGGAGATGCTGTGTCCAGTGCAGCTTATTGCCACTGTTATTGGCCGAGGGGGGACGGGGGTTGGGGAAGAGGTGCCTTGCTTACATGTTCATGTGTGGCTGCCCCTTGGGATCCCAGCAGAGGAGCTGGTGCACCTGTGAGGGCTGAAATCAGGGAGAGGTCAGTCACAGAGTGTGGACTTTGCTCTCACAGTGGTTTATTCCCCCCAAGTGCTTGCCCAGTGGTGCTAGGTGCCCTGTCTGTGTTTTGCTTGCCACCAAGGTGTGTGTTGTTCATTCTAAGTGGACTCTAAGTCCATTCTAAGACACAGGGAACTGTCAGATAGCATTCTGTGCCACGCACCCTAACTCTGGAGTTGTGAGGTAACAGCCTGGAACTATTTACAGGGCGGGGCAAGAATAAATTAGCTTAAATGTGCCAGTTTGTTTTCTTTTATAAATAACAAGAAATTTCTTATTTTTTTTCCAGAAATTAGATTCCAATAAGGCAAGGTATGTAAGTAAGGGTTTTTTGTTTATCATCTGTTTCAGTTTGTGAAAACCATGTTGTGTATTCTTGTGCTCATTAAGGAGATATGCTTCACTGGGTATTTAGTAGGTTTCTGGCATGCCTAGTTATGTTTGTCTAGCCTTTCTAATTGGGTTACACAACAGTTAAAAACATCTAGCAAGTTCCAGCTTTTTTAAATCTGACCTCAGCAATATCACCTGAAGAATGTACAATATGGAGGGTGTGTGTGCAAAAACTACCTGATAACCAGTAAACATGACATGGCCTGTCTGAGGGCACTGCCGCACAAAGCATCAGGTGGTAGTAATGCAAATACAGATTATACGTAAGCAATTTGGAATTTCATATAGAGTCACGCTTTGTCTATAGATGCAGTGCATACAGTGGAAAATAGAGGGTAAGGAGGAACTTGAATAGACTGTACCAGTTCAGACTGCAGTTTTCAGTTTCCCATGTTCCCTGTAAGTAGAAAACTAGTACCTTTTGCCATGTTTTACATCTGCATCACATCAGTACATGAGACAGGATTAAAAAGTGACATACACAGAGAAGTCTGAAATGGTACATTTTCCACCTTTTCAGATTTCTACCAATCCATTTTGCTGCATGTGTAGAAAAGGCCTGAATCTCCAAATTTAAAATAATTTATTGAATGTAAGAATGGCAGGTCAGATCAATAAACTATGTAGCCCATTATGCCATCTACCAACAGTGGCCAGGGTAATTCTTAAGGAAGGATGAGTTAGACACGGGTCCATTGAAATCAATAACCTCAAATATACCTTACTCTGTGCTTGATTGAGATCAGAATGATAAAAGCACAATGATCACATTAATTCCAAAATACAATCCACATAGTAAAAGGGAAGATAAAGCTATAACACATCCCCAAGTTCCTTCCATTTTACACTTTACAATAACCTTTGTGTGCAATACCTGAACACACCTTATGATACAGGGAGTGCAATTCCATTCTATTAAACTTGTCAAAAGAAAGCACATATTTGCTTTTTCCAATATTGACAATCAACAAAAGTACAATACCATACTAACTTCAGGGTTTCAATCATTTTTTGTTAATTTGCAATATGACAAATTGAGACTGTGTCGTGAGAAAAGTAGACTCAAAGAAAACTTCACACCTAAATATTTGAAGTTCTTTATGCACCTGATTTTGCCTTCTGACTGCATCAACCGTTTGTCATTACATGCCAAATGTATCATAACAATCTTTCTCCTTGTGCACAAAATATAACATTTTCAGAAAACAAGCAAGCTCTTATGTGTATATTACATTAAATATTACATATTACTTGTATATAAGAATTTTGTCAGAGGTTCCAGAACTCCATTGCAGCACAGTCCCCCAGAAAAAAAGCCCTGGTAAGCTGAGATAATTATATGGGTTTGATCCTGATCTATTTGGTTAAATTTTGTATAATTTAAAGTTAGCAGTTATATATCCTGATCTATGAAGACTGGGGGGATCTGTTTGTGTTCTTGTTTCTTTAGCCAAAACTGATTCTTCAGGCATAAATATACTGATGAATAATCACACCCAATTTTTTCCTCCTTGCAGTCTGTATAACTCTGCAGAGCGCAGACATAGCTCAGTGGTGGTGAGTCTGCCTGGACTCGAGGTGTTCCCAGGAGACCTGCTGATATCAGACAGTGCAGCAGAATTCCTTTATCATTCAACATCACTGCAAAGTGCAGGTCAGATGGGGACAGGGGCTGACTGGGCTTTAAACTGAGAATCATTTGTGTACTGCATACCTTGGGAGCATTTTAACTAGGTTTGAACTGCATCTTTGGCTTTGTCAAATTTGGTTTCAACAGAAAAGATGGTAGCAAGATAGTTTTTCTTTAAGTAGGAGTAAGGTAGCACAAAGTTGTCTTACAGCACCATGACCCCGAGCCTCAAAACAGTGTGGGTACAATGCAAATAACCTCTGGTTAGTTTGTGTAGCACGGTATGTACCTCACCAGTTGAATGTGCTCCAAAGGGCACACAAAATGGCATCAAGCTTTATGTATCCACAAAACTTTACTGAGTGGATTGTACTTCATTTACTGACTTTGTTTACTGACTCATTTACTGTATGTATTTACTGAGATGGATGCCTGCCGGAAATTGTAGATGCAATTACAAAATTTGCTTTGTACATGCAATTACAAAATGTATCTGTCTACTTGTAAATCGTAGGATTCCTTGCAGGTCAGGAGCTCCCTGTTAGCAGGAGCTTTCCTTCTACTTCACCCTGGAAATGTTTCCATTTAAATCTCCCCATGCCTGTTGGAGCTCTACAAGACTTTTGATTGAGGCTGTTTGTGTGTCTCCATCATCCATGGACACATGATCTCAATTTCTGACATGGCTTCTGTTCACCAAGATAATGTTAATAAGAATTTTAGAGACAAGCAGGGGTCGTTTCGTAGAAAAAGAGCTAGGGGAACTCATTAGCATAACTCATTAGCATATGCCATACCCCCTGACATCACTGGAATTGTGTGATAAGGCCACACACCCCGCCCCCAACGGTCCCGGCCGCCGCTGCTGGCCTTGCAGCTCCACTGCCGAGCCCCATGAGGGGCCCGGCGGTGGACCTGCAAGGCCGGCGGGAGTGCAAGGAAGCCCCGCAAAGGCCCTCCCTGGCCCCAGGCAGGCGGGGGTGGGGAGAGGCAGGGAGGAAGCAACTTACCCTCTCTCTTCTCCTGCCTCCTCCTGGCTGAATGAGGGCCGGAAGCGGGGCGGCCGGAAGCAGGGGGCGGGGCTTTGTCATGTGCCCCGCCCCCTGTACCTCACCCGGGGGAACTGCAATCCCCCGCGTTCCCCCCAAAATGACCTCTGGAGACAAGACTGTGCACATCCATGCCACTGAAATTGATATCACTGCCTTTGATTTCAAAAGGCTGACAATGCCTTTGTTTCTGTTCTACCTATTAGAATCCAAAAAACCTTGGTGGCCATTCACTAAAAAAGGAACTGTGAGTATTTTGCAAGGGTTTTTCCTTTCTGTCATCTACTGATATTTCAACAGACTGACATGTCTAACACACTGTTTTTGTTGTTATTCTTCCTACTTCTTTTTCCCATGTAGTTTGCACAGAGTTTGCTTCCTCCTCTAACAATGAATGAGTTGTTGGTGGATATTGGGAGACAATGCTGGTCTTTTTGGTCTTAACTAATTTCTTAACTAATTTCAAGTGTGCAAACTCATCATATACCTCCGTCTGTAATTTCTTTCACATGTATTGGCTTCTTTTTTTCTCCAATAATGGTTTTTATAAATATGTGTTTCATAAGTTGTTATTGTTGAGTTCTGGGTCCACTGTATTGTCAACCTTTGTTTGCACTTGCAAAAATTAATTTAAAAATTAAATGTTTTTTTTAAAATATACACACAAATGGGGCTGGTACAGAAATGTTGCTACAAAGCAAGAAGTGATATATGTGCTTGTGCTGGACGGGAGCTCAGCAGCAACTTGGCTAAAGAGCTTGGAGCAGAAAGGGCCTCTTGTGCATCTTTTGTTCCAAGCCCCCACCCCACCACCAATACCTGGCTGGTGGTGGTCAGCTGAACCTCCCTCGTGCTTTCTGCTCTAAACTGACCCCCATCATGTGATTGGGGGTAAGATGGATAAACTAAGGAGTGTCAATTATAATTAACTTTCCAGTTAAGAAGTTCTCCTTCAGTGGGGGGAAGTCATCCCAGAAGTGGTTAGGTCACGCCTCTGCTCGCTCGGACAGACTATGCAAATTTCTTTTATTGTGTGGCTCCTATTGGAGGGACCTAGGCTGACCTCTCCAGTTCCTGCATAGCCCTGTGCTCAGTGGGTTGTCTGGAGCTCCAGCTCCAAGCCAGGGAGAGAAGGAAGGAAGGAAGGAAGGAAGGAAGGAAGGAAGGAAGGAAGGAAGGAAGGAAGGAAGGAAAAGGAGGGAGGGAGGGAACACCAAGGAATCAAGACATTGGCCAAAAAGAGCTTCCCTTACCTGGCGTCAGACATCTTCCCTTACTCAAGTAGCAGGCAGGCACATATACTTCCACTTTGGTACTAACACATCAGGATATTGTATTTTGTTCTGGATCTATGTTTCACAGAACAAATGTTACTTGTTGAAAATGGAGAACTTTACGTACCGTTGGCATATGTGACATAGGAAGTCTTATTAGAACTCTGCCACTATATTTATGCTTAGTTTCCCCTTGTGTATTTACATACTCTGCCCTTATTGGCAAATGTTGAAGCTGCCTTATACTGAATCAGACCATTGTTCTAAAACTAAATATAAAAAATACTATCCATCTAGCACTGGTAAAGCCATAGCTCAGACTGATGCTCCTATAATAAAAGAACTGATTATTAGAACCAAATAATGTCTTAGTTAAATGTAGTATTAAATTCCAGTTTGCCTTTGGATCCTAAAATATTTTTACTGGTTCATTCAAAAGGAGCTGTATCCCCCCCCCCAAAAAAAATCCCTCTTGCTTGTTCATTATTGTAACAGGAAGATTGATATAGGGAGGGAAATGAGAAGAAATCTACAGAAACCCTTAAAATAAGGGTGTGATATGTGACATTATAAGAGCTGGCAACAATGTGCAGAATAGCATTATATATTCATTTTAAAACATGTCAGCAAAAGAATGGAAATTACAGAGATAATTGCAAATGGGTTATCACATATTAGAACAAGACCCTCCTTATTTATTGTAACCCAAGATTTGTGCTTATTTTTCTCTATTGCAGGTATATTAACTCTGTGGTTTGTAAGCTATTCGTAATTGTTTTTGTATTTTAAAAATAATTTAAAAATTGGAAAAAAGAAAATGCCTCTACATTTAAAAATGTGCATTTTCAAAATTGAAATGTTGATTTACAATTTTTTACATGCAAAGATCCCAATTTGAAGAACCTTTCTTCATAAAATTGAACCTGCATTTCTCAAATTAACCTCTAAGTTTTGTTTTGAAGCAGAGTAGAGACAGACATAAAGAAGCATTAGACCTGGAAAACTGTTTGTCTACTGTAACCATCAAGACCTCGGAGTACAGCAGCTATGAATTTCACAGTGTTAAGGTAGAGAAATGTTTTATGTGGTACATGGACAGCTCTTATGTTTTACCAGTCTTTATTCTCTTGTTTTGGTTTTCCTTCAAATGAAAACTGTTTTGCTTCTCTAGGCATAAAATGTAGTATACTAATGCTTGCCTACACTACAGTATAATGTTTAGAATCCTAACACTAAAGTGCAGAAAAAAGCCAGTGTTTACAAGAGTATCAGTGGGTCAAAGTAAGAGCCCATGTGTGGGAATGCAGTGGTGTGGATTTTGTATGAATTGTTATTGTGGTGTTTCTCAATTGATAGGATAAAGGCTGGCATGAAATAATGATGCTGTATCAAGTTGAACCAAAAGCCAATGAAGATCAGATAGACACAAAGAAGAAAGAAGCAGTATGGGAGCTCTTCACAACTGAATGCACATATTTTCTTGACCATCTACTGGTTCTTAGAATGGTAAGTCTGAATTCTGTAACCTCTTCCTCAACTGTTGGGTAAATTCTCAGTCCATCTTGATTCAGGATCGTTTCACACAGCCATTTTTTTTCCAGCAAGAAGTTGCTTTATGCAACAACCTCTTTGTGGTGGTGATAAACATCGGTCTTGGTTCTGCACATGTTCCACCAACAAAATTATCATGAATATGGCAAGCCTTCAAATCAGATGAGATATTAGAAAGTGCATGTAACCAATTACCTTGGTAGTTACCTCTTGCTAGAAAACAAAACCATATGCACTTGCTGTATCAGTCTATAGTGCTGTATTTGAGCATTGTTTTATGATTTGATAGGGTGCATAGCATATCCCAGTTTTAGTTTAATCGCCATAGCTTTTGTCATAACATGTTGGCATCCTTTGGTACAATCTCTTTTGCTTTCAATTTTACATTTCCTACTTGCCCTATAATCCGTCCTAGATAGTTAAAACACATGAGTGCACTTTTGAATAACAGTGTCCACTCAAGAACCTCTTAATCCAATAGGGGAAGTATCAGAACAAATTCTGAGTCCAGTGACACCTTTAAGACAAACAAAGTTTTATTCTGGGTATAAGATTTCATGTGCATGCACACTTCTTCAGATACATGGAAAGAGAAGTCACCAACCATTACATATAGTTAGAGGGTGGGGAGGGTGTTGCCAGGAAGGCTAATTAGAGTCAAAATCAGGGGTCTTTTGGGGCTAGAGCGTGCCGGAGCACTGTTCCGGGAGCCCAGGAGCTGGCAAAATGGCGGCAGTAGCAAGCCCCACCCCCAGCTCCCCCCCTGCTACAGCCTGTTGCCGGCCTTCCGGGCCCGTGCTGAAGCGCTGCAGCCCCAGGGAGGCCCAAGGAGGCCCGTCGCTGCTTTTCCAGGGCCCGCGCCAGAGCGCTGCTGCCCAGAGGAGGCCAGGAGAGCCACCACCACCACCTCCCTGGGCCAGCGCCGGAGCGCTGTGGCCCAGAGGAGGCCAGCAGAGGCCCACCACCACCTCCCTGGGCCAGCACCGGAGCGCTGCGGTCCAGAGGAGGCCAGGAGAGCCACCCCCGCCTCCCTGGGCCAGCGCAGGAGTGCTGCTGCCCAGAGGAGGCCAGGAGAGCCCGCCGCCGCCTCCCTGGGCCTGCGCCGGAGTGCTGCGGCCCAGAGGAGGCCAGGAGAGCCCCGCCGCCGCCTCCCTGGGCCAGAGTGCTGCTGCCTAGAGGAGGCCAGGAGAGCCCCCCCGCCACCTCCCTGGGTCAGCGCCGGAGCGTTGCGGCCCAGAGGAGGCCAGAAGAAGGTCCCCTGCCGCCTCTATGGGTAAGTGAGGGATCCATGGGGGGTGGCGGAGGCTTTATTGGGGGCTGGGAAAGCCTCCCCCCATCTCTTTGCCCTCTTTCTTTCCCTTCTTTCCTTCCCCTTTCCTTTTCTTTCCCTCCTTTTCTTTCTCTTGTTCCCTTCTCTTTCTTCCTCCCTCTCTTTTCCTTCTCCTTTCCTTCTCTCTTTCTCTCTTTCTCTCCTTCTTCCCTTCTCGCTCTTTCTTTCCCTCCTTTCATTCTTTCCTTTTCTTCTTTCCCTCCTTCTTCCCTTCTCTCTTTCTTTCTCTCCTTCTTTCCTTCTCTTTCCTTCTTTCCTTCTCTTTCCTTCCTTCTTTCCTTCTCTTTCTTTAACTCTTTCCTTCCTTCATTCCTTCTCTCTACTCTTTCTCTCTCTCTCTCTCTTTCCTTCCTTCTTTCCTTCTTCTGTGGCCCAACTCCACTCCCCCCCCAGGGAAGGGGAGGCTATTGAAGATGCCTTCCCCTCTTTTGCTTCCCCTACTGACATCACTTCCGGTGATGTCAGGGGGCATTGCATATGCTAATGAGCTATTATGCTAATAGCCTAGTAGCTCATTAGCATATTATATAACTAAAATTGGATTAAGGCAAGTGGTAAGACCTGTGAATAGCAGCAGGTTAGCATACAATTTAATAAAAGAGTTTACAAACAGATGCAAGAACTGACACCGATTTCACACAAGCTGTTGCTTCGCATTTGCTCTTCCCTTTGCCCCAATCGTACATGTCAATTTCACACTATGTGCTGTGTGGCCGCATTTTGCCCCGCAGCTTCGCCTGATTTCCCCCGCATCTCAGTCATGTTTTTTGGGGATTGAGTAGACATGGGGAAAATCAGGCAAAGCTGTGGGGCAAAATGCAACTGTGCAGCACATAGTGTGAAATTGACACGTACGATCAGGGCAAAGGGAAGAGCGAACACAGAGCAGCGGCTTCGGGGAAATTGGTCTGAATGACATTAGCATGTGTAGTGAGATAAAAAGCCAATATCCCTGTTAAGCCCTGGGGGTTCCATTGTCCTGAGTGTTGTAATAACTTATAACTCAGCAATCTCCTGTTCTAGACTGTTTCCAAAATTCTTTTGCAGTAAAACAGTTACTTTGAGGTCCCCCATTGAGTGTCCTGGAAGGCTGAAGTGTTCTCCTACAAGTTTCTCTGTTTTGTGATTCCTGATGTCAGATTTGTGGCCATTTATCCTTTAGTGTAGGGTCTGACCTGTTTGCCCTATGTAGAGAACTGAAGGGCATTGTTGGCATTTAATGGCATATACAATGTTCAAAGCTGAGCATGTGAAGTTGATGTTGTTAGATCTGGTGATTGTGTTGTCTGGGTGTATGTGACAGCAAAGTTGGCATCTGGGTTTATTGCAAATTCTGGTACCAGTGTCTATGTTCAAATAAGATGCTGTATTATTGTGGGTGAGGAGTTGTTTAAGATTGGGGCACTGTGTGTGGGCAAAAAAAGGTTTGCCCCCCAGTACTTGTGAAAGAGAACTGTCATTATCCAGCAGAGGCTGTATGTCACTGGTGATGCATTGAACTGTTTTCAGTTGAGAGCTATATATGACCTGTGACCAGTAACCGCTAGTGGTGTTCTGTTATTGGCTCATTTGGACCTTTTTTTAAACAGGTTTTCTCTGGGTAATGTTCTTGCTTTGTTAATCTGTTTCTTGACTTCATCAGGTAGATATTTTAGTTCCAAAAAGGTTTGTTGTAGATCCCTCAGGTGAGAAATTCTGTCTGTAGGATTGGAATAGATGCAGAGCCTGGCTGTATACAGTGGATTGTTTGATATGTTTAGGATGGTAGCTGGAGGCATGTAGATACGTTTGCTGGTCAGTAGGGGAAGTATATTACCTGAAATTTCTCCCTCAGTATCATATGTAGCAAATATTTGTACATACACCATTTCACCTTTATCGATCATTCTGAAAGCAGCACTTAATATGAGGAAACTTCTAGAATATAAAAACTCATGTAAAAGTTTGACAGAATTTAAAAGTTTCCTCATATTAAGTGCTGCTTTCAGAATGATCTATAAAGGTGAAATGGTGTATGTACAAATATTTGCTACATATGATACTGAAAAGATACAGCAAAGACTGATGGAACAGCATGAAATAACATGTTACCGAAAGAAACATCCTGCCCTGAAAAAGCTGTCTAGTCCCAACATTCTTCAGGGTGAAACTCTCAGGATGGGTTTTCTAGACCCACAATAAATCTAGAGTGTTTCTTGGATCAGAGTGTTTCTTTGAACTAAGGCAACCTGTAGCAATCATAAACTTCAGTGACTTAGAGATGAAATCAATAATTGGAGTTATTATCTTTTCCAAAGGTTTTTATGAATACATTAAAGTACCTGCAAAGCAAGGAATTCCTGTCAGATGTGATTCCAAGGCTACTTTTTGCAAACTTGGAAGAGTTAAACCAGGTGAGAACATACCAAAACATTCACATGAAAACCCAGAAGTGATCTTGGGTAGCTCTAGGTGTTTTTTATTGTTCCAAGAACTGTCTGATGTCAAGTCCAGGTTTTCCCTGGAAGAGACATCACTACGCATGCAACACTGATGTTTTTTGGTTTTTTAAAAAATTCTCTTGCTGTCACTTAGCTGCAGCAGACAGCACAGGTTGCTGGCAGGAGGCCTCCTGTCATAGCGGGGGGTGGGGGGGCTAGCAACCCAAGATCTAAACGTTCAGAAGACTTTGATCCCATAGTTTTGCAAGGAGTCATGTTTTCTCATTGAAGACTTAAATTCCTTTTCAGTCAATGTCACAAGGCTATTTTATTTTATTTATTCAGACTATCTGTGTCCTGGTATTCTGCACTTTTAAAATAATTATAATTACAAGGCAACTTGTAATTATAAAATTAAAATATTTTAAAACCTATTGACAAAGCCTAAGAAACAAGTGATCACAACACAAGTCCAGCAGCAACTGAAACCAGTGGAGACTGAGCAGGTTAATGAGCACAGTAGTGGCAAGTAACGGACACCAAAATCTAAGTGGAACATAGCTCCCAAAGCTATAAATGTACTTTGAAAGTGACTGCCCAGCACAGAGCAACACTAAAAGCATTTGCCTCACACTGGTAGAGGATGCCTCTTTACAGTGGTGGGGGTGGAAAGTGCCTCCAAGCCACAGCCAACATGGCAGCCCCATGGGGTTGTCAAGGCAAGAGACATTCAGAGGTGATTTGCCATTGCCTTCCTCTGCCTCACAAGCCTGGACTTCCTTGGTGGTCCCCCATCCAAATACTAACCACGGGTGAGCCTGCTGAGCCTCCAAGATCTGACAAGATCAGGCAAGCCTGGTCCATCCAGGTCGGGGCTTCTTCACAGTAGTATCTGACTAACCTAACCACCTTTGCATTGTGGCCAAGGGACACAAGAAGGACTCCATGCTACAGGAAAAAAGCCTGGTTCAAGTGAACTGTAAAAGGAACAGAGGCCCACTGAGGGGGGCCAAAGCGTGACCTTGTCTCTCCAACAGCTAGCTCAGGACCTGAATTATTCTCTGCTGAGAAGCAGCAACCAAAGGCCTCCTTGGGGGGGGGGGGAGCCAGTCCAAGAGTGAGAGTTGCAGGGATGGGAAGAAGAAAACTGGAGACCTTTGAAAAGAGGCAGGAGGGAAAAGTCACCAAAGCAAAATGATTTCCTGAGCTGCTTTTTGAGAACAGAGAATGTTTGTCAAGCTCCTTCATCTAAGGCGTGAGGCCTAGCACCAAGGGGCACAGAACCCAACAGAAGTGGAAGACCAATTCTAGTCTGTGCTGGTCTGAAATGATACAGTAAACGCTTTGTTGTCTGATGCTCATGGAGAATGGGGGTTGCCAGTTAATCAAATGCACTAGTTAACAGAGCTTAATATCATAGCTAGTTGATGGTCCAATGCCAATCAACTGGCAATAGCTGGCGCCAGCATTCTCCTCTTTCAAGGTGCCTATTATGTTCGTTTTCTGGGTTGTCAGCACAACACATTCACTCTTCTGTCCTTTGCTTGTTTATGGTGGTATTTCCAGCCTTATGTTGTGAGACTGCATGGAGAGGAAAGGGGGCTGGGTCCTACTACTCGCCTTCTCTTTCCCCTTTAGGCTGAAGACATCAGGGGAGGGTGGGGCTATGTTGCCTGGAAAGCGGTGCTCACAACTTGCATTGGCCTGGCCAGGCTGCTGCCTTACCAGTCCTGCCATGCATGGTAAAATCCTAAAGGACAGTGGCTTTGGAGCTGCCCTCACTGCAAGCTGTGGAGCCTGCAAAAGCCCAGCGTCCTCACTCACCCTGGCCAGGAGCTTTGGCACTGAGTGAGGGAGCAGATGGGCTGCAGTGAATAAGGTTGCCAGCTCTGGCTTGGGAAATACCTGGAGATTTGGGGGTGGAGCCTGGGGAGGGCGGGGTTTGGGGAGGGGAGGAGCCTCACCATGGTATAATGCCATAGCATCCACCCTCCAAAGCAGCCATTTTCTCCACAGGAACTGATCTTGATAGTCTGGAGATCCACTGAAATAAAGGAAGATCTCCAAGTGCCACCTGGAGGCTGGCAACCCTAGCAGTGAGACTTCCTCTGAAGAAGAAGAAGAAGAAGAAGAAGAAGAAGAAGAAGAAGAAGAAGAAGAAGAAGAAGAAGAAGAAGAAGAAGAAGAAGAAGAAGAAGCAGAGCGGCTTACAAACTCCTTTCCCTTCCCCTCCCCACAACAGACACCCTGTGAGGTGGGTGGGGCTGAGAGAGCTCTGACACAAACTGCTCTTTCTCAAGGACAGCTGTGCCAGAGCTTGTGACTGACCCAAGGTCACATCAGCAGGTGCAAGTGGAGGAGTGGGGACGCAAACTCGGTTCTCCCAGATTAGAGTCCGCGCACTTAACCACTACACCAAACTGGCTCTCGGATACAGAGGCAAGGGACGGGGTGTGTGTGTGTCTATGTTTCCCAACAAGCTGTGCTTGCACTTCCTCTCAGACTGGTTGAGCTGCTATGTTGCTGACCCCACTGCAGCCTGCCAATGCCAGGTTTGCAGCTGCCCTCACCGCAAAAGCAGAGGCACCTGCAAAAGGCCCCGGCTCATTGTGCATGCTCAGGCACCAGGTCTTCCTTCCTTCTCCCCACAACAACTGGGAAGTGCAGGAATACGTCTTCCACCCCCAGGCATATTGGTCGCTGAGACAGGCGCCATTTAACCAAGTTGTTTGGCCATCGAACTACTGGTAAAACAGGCTTTACTACACTTAACGGTTCTTAGGAAGGGATTGCATTTGTAATCTGTTACATTGAACTGTTACCTCCAGGGTTGCCAGATCCTTCCTGGCCACTGGCAGGGGATGGGGGGTGGGTGGGGTCGGGTTGCCTACTCCAAGTTCAGAAACCCCTGGAGATTTGGTGATGGAGCCTGGGGAGGGCAGGGACCTCAGTGGAGTCCAATGCCATGGAGTCCACCCTCCCAAGCATCCGTTTACTCTGGGGGAACTGATCTCTGCAGTCTGGAGATGAGCTGTAATTCCAGGGGATCCTCAGGTCCCACCCAGAGACTGGCACCCCTACTGGCAGCAGTAATTTATGCCATTTTTTTTAATTAAAGGTCATCTCAGAGTGATGTGTTGCTGTTTTTCTTATCTAGGTAAGCCTTGGTTTTGCGACCAGTTTCTTTAATGTTATAAAGGATCACCTTGTCAAGCCTACGTCCTCCTTAGAGTTCATCTCTGTGCTTACAAAGGTAAAGATGTATTCTGTAAGGTTACCTAGTAGAAAGAGCAGAAAATATAAGGAAGTCTGGTTTCACGTGACCCAAGACCCCATTATCTCAACAGGAGTTTCACATACTGCAACATGAAGCAAAAGGTAGTTGTGTGAAGGCACTCAAGCTCCCACTGTAACATTTGAATCCCCCTTAGCTTAATTGACATGATCAAGGATAGAGAAACCAAACAAAAACATTTCTTCTCTGTGTTTTCCCCAGTCATTCAGTCTGGTAACACAGGCTGCAGTCCATAAAAACCTATGTCACATACAGTTTGGCACTTAATGTCTCTTTTGTTGTTGTTCTTGCTGCAGCAATCTAAAATGTATCATATTCTGGAATTCAACGTTTTCTTGAGTGTGCAGAGGGATCAGTTGGGCTTAGAATTTGGTAAAACTAAGTAAACACTTGAAAATGACCTACACAGGGAATGAATTTGAACTGCAGGGAAAGTTATATGTAAATAGTCGAATGAATAAGCAAGAGTACATACCTAACATTCCCCAAGAGTTCCTTGTCCTTTAGAAAACAAGCTGAACAGCCCCTCCAAAAGGTAGGTATTTTGCAGTATTTCAGATTTCAGCAGGAGAGATCTGCTTCACAACCCTACACATTTATGAAGTAGTCAATCCATATTCAATTAAGTTTACTCCCAAGTAAGTGTGTTTAAGTGTGCTGCAGTGGCTCAAGTGGTTAAGACGCTGAACTGCAGGCTGTGGAAGGCCGATAGTTCAGCAGTTCGAGCCCCGAGTGTGCCGCATGACGGAGTGAGCTCCCGTCTCTAGTTCCAGCTCCTGCCAACCTAGCAGTTCGAAAGCAAGAAATTGCAAGTAGATAAATAGGTACCACTTCAGTGGGAAGGTAACAGCGTTCTGTGCACCTTGGTGTTTAGTCATGCAGGCCACATGACCACGGAAACGTCTTCGGACAGCGCTGGCTCTTCAGCTTTGAAACGGAGATGAGCACTGCAACCCTAGAGTCGGATTCAACTGGCTTTCGGGCAAGGGAACCTTTACCTTTAAGTGTGTTTAGGACCATATTTTAAGTAAACACCACACCCAAGGTGCATTAAATTATAACAAGAAGCTATTATATAATTCTAAATATCTCTGATGAATTAAAGTAAGTTCCAAATCAAAGCTCAAATCGGTTGGGCATATTTAATGTTGAGAACAAAAAGTGTATCTATACCATTTAAGTTGGTAGCCGTGTTGGTCTGAAGCACTAGAACAAAGTTTGAGTCCAGAGGCACCTTTAAGACCAACAAAATTTAACTCTGGGTATAAGCTTTCATGTGCATGCACATTTCATCGGATACATTGATGAAGTGTGCATTCACATGAAAGCTTGTGCCCAGAATGAAACTTTATTGGTCTTAAAGGTGCCTCTGGACTCAAACTTTGTTCTGTGTCTATACCAGTAATTTATATTCTGATGTAAAATATCTAATTTTGTTTCATCTTGCAGTATTTCCAAGGGAATCTGTGTCAGTGTCTCCAGATATACTGTCTTAATTACACCTCCACAGTCTTTTACTTGGAAAAGCTGAAGAAAAGAGAAGATTTCGGGACCTATTTGAAAGTAAAATCCTATTCTTATTCAGTGCTTAGAGTCTAAAGGGTGCATCCAGGGGTTTTACAAATGGAATGAATTCATGGAAGCCATTTTATTCCTTCACCTAGCCGCTTTTCGCGCCTTAAAAAAAACCCCTACTGCTGAGGCATAGGGGATCCTCCAGAATGTGTTTGTGGGGGGGGGGGGTGCAGCAAGAAAGGCAGCCAATGTTTCTCCCTTCCCTTTTGAGCAAGCGTTTGGTCCCTTAACAGATTTCCCTGCACTCCCACAAAAGTGAGGGATGTCTATTTTAGCCAGTGCTTCTTCTTGCTGCACCCTCAATTCTGTCCAGGTCCCAGTGGCATATTGGAGAGTCCCCCAATTTTTTGGTGGCATAGAGGCTGCAGGGTGGAAGAGGATGAGGTAGAAATTGTTTTCCAAGACTTGCTCAGTTTGTGAAAGCCACCCATGATAGACTGTGGCAGCAGCTTAAAAAAAAAACAATTACTGTAACAGAACTCCTGTTTCAAAGTAAAAAATTGTGGGCTTAAACGGAGTTGGTGTCATCTATGGGGCAAATACTGTTTCAGTGCACATAAGCAAAGATCAGATTTTACACAGTTCCCTGCACAAAACAGCAGTGTAACTGGGGGAAGATTATAAACAGAAAGCTTCTGAACAAAGTTTGAGTCCAGCAGCAGCTTTAAGAGGTATGAGCTTTCATGTGCACTCACACTTCCTCAGATACAATGAAATGGAATTTACCAGTCCATACCATCAAGTGGTTAAGACGCTGAACTGCAGGCTGTGGAAGGTCAGTAGTTCAGCGGTTCAAGACCCGGGTGCCGCAAGACAGGGTGAGCTCCTGTCTCTAGTTCCAGCTCCTGCCAACCTAGCAGTTCGAAAGCAAGAAATTGCAAGTAGATAAATAGGTACCACTTCGGTGGGAAGGTAACAGCGTTCCGTGCACCTTGGTGTTTAGTCATGCCGGCCACATGACCACAGAAATGTCTTCGGACAGCGCTGGCTCTTCGGCTTTGAAACGGAGATGAGCACCGCAACCCTAGAGTCGGATTTGACTGGCTTTCGAGCAAGGGAACCTTTACCTTTTTACATATAAGGCAGAGGTTAAACAGAAAATTAGCATACAGCATAATGAAGATGTTTTAACATATGAAAACAGGAATAACAAGCTAAGTTTATAAGGTCACCATTGTTTGGATTTAATTGGGGGAGGAAACAGTGAAGCAAATAAATATGTCAAAATTGGAGATAGATGTGTAAATGTGTCATTCTTAATTGTGAAGTGTTAAGAGTAATTACATGAGACCTTGTTGTTAGCTCCATCTGTCTCCTCTCAAGCATGGAGGTAACTAATAACATCTTTTTCTTTGAGGTGGGGTGATTTGTAGTGCAGTGTTATGTCTCCTCTGTTACTAGACCACAGAAATGTGTTTCTGTAGGTGATCTGACAAAGAAAATAATGGAGCCATTTTATCCTCACAAGTGATCCGTAATACTTTTGTACATTCACAGGGCTTCACGTTATCTACAATATAATCTTGCCAAGTAAAATTCTTTTTAAGAATTTATCCTAGAAATTTCCCTGAAATAAATATTTTGTATATTTGAGAAAAGAAAGAGAGGCAAGGATAAGAAAATGTAGCTATTTATACCAAGTATATTGACGTACAAAATAATTGTGCTGCTAAAGCAAGCTTGTGAATATGGGGTGTTTCAACCCATCCCTACACTCTCCCCCCATTCATTATCATCACAACTTTTATGACTTGCTTCATTCCCTCCCCCACCCTATACTTTATATGACATTCCATATGGATAGCTGTTTCACTACTTCTTAAAAAGCTAAAATATGTAACTTTGAGGGGCAGAAAATCAACATTAAACTGTCAACTCATGTATGGCAGGAATTCTAGGCATAAATCACTACATTGTAAAAGAATGTTAAAATGTCAAGATATGTCAGTGAGGCATTTATGTTCCACTTATTATCAGTACAGATGGATTGTGCCTCAACCTGAAATTTACCAAGAGAGCCCCATTTTCTGACTTTATTGGGACTTAGGGCCTCATACTCTGGTAGTACACAGGGTGACTGAGGGAAAAATCCATTGCTAGTCATACATGTTAACTAAAAGGGGCCAAACTGAACTTTAATTCACCTTCTACCATTTTAGTATACATTAAAAGGACATTAAGAAATAAAGCTTATGAGCAACCCGATTTGTCACAAGAAAATGCCCCCCCACACACACACACCTAGAGTATTTATGAATACATCACAAGCTTTGGAAGTAAAGAAAAACATTTTTGACAGTACAGCCAGAAAATAAAACAATCATTCCTTCTTGTAGACTGCTTTCCACAGAGGTTTTTTATCTACCATAGCCCCCAAACTGAAGCACACCACCACCATGCTGTAATGGCCCTGTTCTCCTGTTTTCCTTGTCCAAAATAAGCTCTTTTCCAAACCTACTTTACTCCAGTCTTTCTAGAAAGAATGAAGTCTAATCATGGCATTTATTAAGGGTCCCACTCTTTGCAGGCACAACGTTACCAGCATATTTTCCTGCTGTGCCATGACAGGGATCTGAGATTTATTTGCTATAACAATCCACAGGCACTTTTCAATTTCCAGTTTTAATAAAACAATTAAAGTGCTATACGGATACATAAAGAACAAAAAATGGGGGCGGCGGGGTGTTGACAAGTCACCATGGCAGTCATGATGACAATGCAACCCAGACCTAATGCGGAATCCCCGTGAAGCACATATGGAGGAGGGGGATTTTAGGACTGACAAAGGTTCACAGGGAAACCCTCACGTGTGCAGGCTCCATCATCAGTGTGCTTGCCTCTGCATTCACAGCAGTTACAAACACCAGAACCCTTACTGTGCAGAAACAGCTGCAAATGACTCCCCCCCCTCTTTTAGCTATGTCTTGTTTTGCTTTTTCTACTTAATAGTGCTCGCCTGGGACAAATGAAGACCTGTCTTCTACAGTGGTGAAGTTTTATCACTTCTTCAGATGCAACACACAATGGTTCCTACCTAGGAAGACCTGTTATACAGGACACACACATGCACACACCCTCGCTTTTAAAAAACAGTAGGGAGGCAAAAAGCAGAATGTACAGTGTGAAAACACAATTATGCAAAATTCAAATCTAATCAAGAATTTCACATAATTATCTTTTGCCTTGTACTTCCTGCATGTTGGGGCACTTTGACCTACATGACAGACCTACATAAAATGACTGTAAAGAAAGGACCTGCTTCATTACATCTGAATAAGTAGGGTCTAGTGCATAAAATTAGGGCCATAGTGGCTCAGAGGTTAAGATGCTGAGCTGCAGACCAGAAGGTCTGTAGTTTGGCAATTCGAGACCCTAGTGCCGTGTGATGGAGTGAGCTCCTGTCTCCGGCCCCAGCTCCTGCCAATCTAGCAGTTCGAAAGCAGAAATTGCAAGTAGATAAATAGGTATCGCTTTGGTGGGAAGGTAACAGCATTCTGTGTGCCTTGGAGTTTAGTCATGCCGGCCACATGACCATGGAAATGTCTTTGGACAGTGCTGGCTCTTGGGCTTGGAAACGGAGATGAGCACCGCCCCCTAGAGTTAGATTTTACTGGCTTTCAAGCAAGGGAAACCTTTACCTTTAGTGCATAAAAGATTCATATTGGGATAGAACTGTTAGTCTTTAAGGTGCCACTAGATTCTCATTTATGAATCTTTGTGATTCTGGTCTTGTGGGATCAAGGTCCAAACTTGACAAACACTGGGGATCCATGAACAGACTGACCCAGCATTTTTAAATGGAAAGAGCCACAGGAAGGGCTCAGTTTTCTCCCATGGGGGTTTGTTGATTGAAACAGATCCCCTCCCCCTCAGAACTCTTAGCAACACTGGAAGATGGAAAAGACACCTTGCCTTCCCATAGCTGCCTTATGCTGAGTCAAACCATGGGTCTATCAAGATTGATTTGTCTACTCTGACTGACAGCAGCTCTCCAGGGTCTCAGATAGAGGTCTTTCACATTACACACCATCTGATCTTTTTAGCTGGACATGCTGAGGACTTAATCTGAGACCTTCTGCATGCCAAGCCGATCTTATACTGCTGAGCCAGTCATTGGTCTAACATGGTATTTCTTTGTCCTCAAAAGTGGTGTGAACAAAACAAACAATGCAAACGACGGCATCTGTCAGAACTGCTGGTTGCACCTTTGCACAGATTGACTCGCTATCCCCTTCTCCTGGAGAACATCTGGAAAAAGGCTGGTCCAGAGGAGAGAGCAGTCATTTGTTCAATTAAGGCGAAGGTGGAAAAATCTATAAGTAAGTAGGGGGTCAAACATCAAATCCTTGGTTTGGGAGCTGTTCAGAAAATATGTCTATGAGCCTTATATTACAAATAGCAGAACAGACAACAAACAGGAATAGGGAAATGTGACAACTATAAAAACATTAAAGATGTGAATTTGGTCTGAGCGTGACTTTCTGTGTGTTACATAACTAACACTGAAAGCGCACGTCTGGAGACATGATAGAAATGCAAACTGTAATCCTCATACTTTACGACTGTCCATGGGACTTTCATTCCCACTGGTATTTGTCAGTACAGAGGGCATTCAGCTTTCTATAGCACAGGGTTTTTCTGTATAGGTAATTTCCATTGGCTCCGGCTCATACTGCTTTGTTTCTTTTGCTGATATCTGCATCTGTTTTGATGCCTATAGGGTTCACTTCAGTTTTCCCATGGTTTTCCTCCAGTTTTTGGGGGAGCAATTTTGCCCCAGGTTTTTTTTTAATTCAAACTGATTTGGGTCGCTTTTACTCCTCGGGCATAATTTTTCAACTGGGTTTTTTTTTGTTCTGCGCATCGATGCTTGTCAACGCCCACCTCCTGTCATCAAACCACATCCTCCC